GTATTATATATAATTGTAGGGTGAATTTAGTGATAGTTTTTCTTTGTAATTAAAGATTACTTTGAATTATATATTTGTAGTGTGCATAAAAAAATATTCATTTATTCTGTTTTAATCGTTAATTTAGTTGAATTTAGTGATATATAGTTTTTCTTTGTGATTAAAGATTACTATTTGAATTATATCTTTGTAGTGTGAATTCATTAGTCTTCAGAAACAGCACGAACTGTTCATGGAATTTTGTAAGGAGCCCGGGATTGCTGAAAAATTCAGAGACTTTTGTGGAAAAAGGGTGTGGTGATCTTTCCCTTGAGTTTTTTATCCAAAACTCTTCTCTACGCACTAGTAATTCTATATATAAAAAAATTACATATATAGCATGGAATTAGTGATTTAACAATTTTAATTATTAACTTGTGGAACCCGTGGACAACTTTGGAGGAGGTCTATATAGATGTTATGTTGCATTTCTAATTATAGAATGGCTACTGTTTTAACATTTTCTTAACCTGCAGAACCTTGAAAGTGAAATGATTCAAACAGTGGGACCAGAGGGTGTTACTGCCGCGAGTTCTAGTAGCTTGGAAGGTATGGTGAATTCACCAAAATCCTGGGGCTACTACTTTGCTCCCATAATTTTTGAGGGCTAACTCTTTTGGTTTGAATGTGACAGCGATAGGAGCCCGTCAGGGCGAGAGGCCTGCAACTGCTTACACTACTCCAAGTCGTCCCCCAATTGGTCGGTTTATGGCTGAGGCTAGCCAGAACCATTTGTTTTCAACCAACGAAGGTACACAAATACAAATGAGGGAGGCTGCTCATGATGGGGAGGCCTCCACCTCATCACCGGCACCTCCATCTCATCATGAGCCTTGGACTAGGGAGCAAGCGAGAATTTAGCAGGTCCGATCTTGTGAAGGTATGTAGTCAAAGACTGAAGCCCCTCTTCTCTTGGATCTCTACTCTTTCCAATTTCTCTTTTACATTGAATTATTTCTTTTCTCTTTAATTGATTATTTTCCAACTTCATTTGCAATATGTGAAGATCAAAGATGCTAACAGAAATAAGAAAAAACCTGACAACTTTATTTACAGATGATCAAAGCTGCTGTGACCCTTGGTGGGAATTTGATGAAGGGGCTGCTGCAGTCCATGCAACCTGGTTCAGAATTTCTAAACGTGCGTCTATTGGACACTATTCTGCGCTATCCATCTCTCCAATACCAGTTCCAAGAAGGTCTGACTTTGATAGGTCAGGGACATCCCATCGATGACAACATTGCCAATCAATCTGATAATCCACCAGTGGTTGTGCCACGCTCCTTTTTTTCGT